CCCTGTCACGCACAGAGCAGGGCCAATCAGGGGGTTGGGGCGCTGCCCCCTGTCACGCACAGAGCAGGGCCCATCAGGGGGTTGAGGAGCCCCCCCCTGTCATGCACAGAGCAGGGCCCATCAGGGGGTTGGGGAGCTCCCCCCTGTCATGCACAGAGCAGGGCCGATCAGGGGGTTGAGGAGCTCCCCCCTGTCACGCACAGAGCAGGGCCCATCAGGGGGTTGGGGCACCGCCACTGTCACACTCAAAGGCAGGGCCGTTGGGAGGTTATGGCTCTACCCTGTCACACACAGAGCTGCAGGGGATCAGGGGGTTTGGGCACTGCCCCCTGTCACGCTGATCTGGTGCCAGGAGGCCTCGCGGCTCCGCTGATCCCAGTGCTGGGAGGCATATTACCCTTTTACTATATAGGATAGAGGCCTGGGGGCCGGCTGGTTTGCCCTGAAGGGTGTCCTGGATCAGGGTGGGGGTCCCCACTGGGGTGCCTGGCCAGTCTGGGTGAGGGGCTGAGGGCTGCTTTCAGGCTGGCGGTTGTTGACTGAAGCTCCCAACCGCTCTTTTTTTTCTTTTTCTTTTTTTTAATTCTGGGCCAGCTTTAGCTCTGGCTCTAGCTCTGAGGCTTCCACTGCTGATTGTGTTCTATAATCGAAACAATGTATAACTCCAGCTCTGAGATCCCGGCTGGCTGAAAGCTGGTTTCTGGGGTTTTGTTTAGCTTCTATATTTGTTACAAAGTTTCTTAGAGTTGCAACTCAGAGGCCGGCAAGTCAGGCGGGGAATGTTGGAGTCTGCAGTCACTGGAGCAAGCAAGCCTCATGTTCGCTTCCAGCTGTCTGGCTGCCGGCCACCATCTTGGCTGACAGTTAATTTGCATAAGGATATGCTGATTAGCCAATGGGAAGGGTAGCGGTTGTACACTAATTAGCATGTTTCTCTTTTATTAGTGTAGATTAGTTATTGTATTTATTGTTATTATTAACCTACTTTTGCTCACTCTTATAGTCCAGTAGAATAAAAAATACATATGATGCCCTGATAATAAAGTCACATGTAACAATATAGCATGCCTTCATCATCACATACTTTAAAGGAAATAATTCCCTAATAAACCAATAATAAATTGTCAAATACTAAGTTTGAAAACATTAATAATAAGTGCCATATTAATAAGTGCCATAGTAAAAATACACTAAAATAAGACTCTGCAAAAGTAAAACCACAAATAAATGACCTGGCTTGTGAATTTCTTAATTTAAGAATTAGATTAAGTGATACTTGAAACCAAGAGAAATTTAGGCTATCAAAATTGTTCATACTATGTTGAGCTGCCTTGTTCCATCTTGGAATTAGGACATAGACAAATCTAATGGAGAGTCATTCAACTGAGCAAGATGGAAGACAAGCATTACAGTAACTGTGGTAAAAGCCCACTGCCTGCCTTCCTCTCCTCACTGCTCCCTGTGCCATCCTCTATGCTGATGGGCAGGGAGCCTGATGGGATGCTGGGTGAGCTTGGCTCTTTGATGGCAGGAAGTTTCTGGCCACCATGACTGGATCTATGATTTCTACTACTGAGTGAGTGGCCCTTTTCCCCCACTAATTTACTCTTTTGTAATGAGTGAGTTAATTCTTTATTTTGTTTTCAGATATGGCTCACAGGCTAGATTTGAAGGTAAATGTTACTTTATCAGACACTAAATGGCCTTATTTTTACACATTCTTTCCTCAAAGGGGTATTTATAGGGCTCAGGCCCCCAGGAGACTAGTGGGAGGGTAGGGTAGTGGATTTCAGCCTGAGGCACTTATTTGCTTGAGAAATATGCCAGATGAGTGGTTTCAAAAAGCTCAGGCTGCTGATGTGGGCAGAGGATTAAAGGGAACGATTTCTCCTCTCCTTTATAAATACCTGCTGGAGAGCTAATGGGATTTTGTGTGCATGTGTATTTCCTTTTTCGATTGGGGAAATTAAAAGTCATACTGGAACATCCTGTGATAAAATATGTGAGGTAGAGGCTGAGGGAACAGATAGATGCAATAGAAGAAATGTGCCCCAGGTCTGTGGCATGTTGTATTATCACCAGACTTGGCATGTTATTGGTCTACTGGTGATTAAATACAGGAATGTGTGGGGCATAAATAAATACCTATCTCATCAGCAGCTTTTAGCATAAATAGCACTCTTTCCTATCAAAGAAACTAAATGCTTTCACAAGCTTAAATTTTATTTTATTTTCAATTAGTACCCACCCTGGAAGAATTCCAAGCTATTTCAAATACTCATGCTTCTGAATAAACAGAGCCTTCATTTCATTACTTAAATAGTAAGATAAATGCCTCTCCAATTCAAAATCTGTTAATATGATTAGATGCCTGCATTAAGGTAGTGAGACTGGGAATAGTTTAAATCTGAGTTTCCAAGATAAGAAACAAAGGAAAGATCTCAGCTGTAATCGTTGATTCTGTGGAAAATAGGAATGTAGAAATTTTTGAACATAATTATCTTTGTTCCCAATATTATCTCTTGAAAAGGAAGCTTAGTATAGCTCAAATAATAAAATTGTCTTATTAACATTTTAATTTACCAATCCTCACTTTATGAAATTACATATTAATGAATATTTTATAACCACGAATTACATCCCAAATTATTTGCCACCTTTTGATAAATTGAGTTCTCTTTTCAGGATTTAAATATATTTTATTGGTTTTTCACAGAGAGGAAGGGAGAGGGATAGAAAGTTAGAAACATCGATGAGAGAGAAACATCAATCAGCTGCCTCTTGCATACCCCCGACTGGGGATGTGCCCGCAACCAAGGTACATGCCCTTGACTGGAATTGAACCAGGGACCGGGGACCCTTCAGCCCACAGGGCGACGCCCTATCCACTGAGCCAAACCGGTCAGGGCAGGAGGTAGTGTATTTAAAGAAAACTCATCAGGAAGCAGGGCCTCTCCTCCTCCATCCAGAAGAGCCCCATTGGCTCCTGTGGATGTGACAGGGTGCAGGAGGGGTTTGAGAGGACAGACAGACAGGCTAGTAGTCCTAAATTCTCCTGCCACTATCCCCAGAGATCAGGAGAGAGGGCCAGGGTGAGCCCATCACCCTTATTCTCGCCTGTCATCCTAACCAGGAGGGAGTGAAGAGCTAGCTGGTCTTTCTAGTGCCAGGAACACCCACCCCCACCCCCACCCCCATAGGGCTCTCAATCTCCTCTCCTCTGCTGGACCCTCATAGAGAAAGTTCTCTCATTCTTATGCTCCTCTCTGGGAATAGCTTTCTCTTTGGGCCTGGGCAGTAGAGAGAAGATGTGGCCATATCTTTTCTTGCTAAAACCTCATTACCTGGGAATTGGGGACCAGGAGCAGGAGAGGTGTCAGGGTGTTTACAACAGAGTACCCATATTAGGAAGATTCTTTCAAGAGAACACCTGTTTTTTATGAGCCCAGTAGCTAGAGATACCCTTTGGCTAACCAGATCCCTCCACTCTCATATGGTATGGGGGAATGAGAGAGTAAAACCTTTACACATACAGAAAAATGCCCAGATCATAAATGTACATCTTAATGAATTTTCACAAAAGAAGCATTCATATAACCAGTATCCAGATGAAGTTTATTTTTTTATAATGATACTAGAGGCCTGGTGCACAAAATTTGTGTATGGGTAGGGTCCCTAGGCCTGGCTGGCAATTAGGGCCGATCTGTGGGGCGACTGGTGGGGTGATTGGGGAGGGCCCTCACTGGCACCCACCTTGGCTGGCCTGGCACCTCCCGCTCGCCTGTCCCGTCTCCCCTCTCCAGCCCACCTCCTTCTGTGGGGCGACTGGCGGGACGATCGGCGGGGGGGGGGGGGGGGGGGGGCTGGGGGGCCTGCTCGCACCCACCTTGGCTGCCTTGGGGCCTGCAGCCTTGGGGCAGCTCCTACATTGAGCGTCTGCCCCCTGGTGGCCAGTGCACATCATAGCAACCGGTCGTTCTGCCATTCGGTCTATTTGCATATTAGGCTTTTATTATATAGGATATGTTTCCTAATTATAAAAGCACTTTGTAGTCATTTTGGAAAATTCAGCAAAATGTAGTAAAGAAAATAAAATCCACTCATTGTACCTACTTCCCCCAAAATGACCACTGGTAACAATCTGTGTGTTTGCAGCCCATCTGTCTGTCTCATGCCCTTGCACACACAGATGTTATATGCACCCATAAATACATGCATACAGTACCACAGCCTCTGAAGCTTTACACAGAGAAGTTCTAAGTAGGTGCAATCCATGACATATAACAGAGTTTTATGTTTACTGTCTGGTTGTTGACTTCATCAGCAGAATGGCCAGAAAAGAAAGGAAAGCCGAAAACCATCTGTCTCCTTACTTGATACCAGGAAAGGGGCTGCTTGTGAGGGAGGAGATAAAATAAGTCACTGCCATATACGTGTGGATGATTCTTAGACTTCATTTCTTCAATATTTTCCCACCTCTCAGAAAACTCAGCAATAATGATTTTTTTTTAAGTAGCTCTCTTGCACATACCTAAGCAAACAGCCACAGTGAGTCAAAACGTTGGAAATTGGCTGGTGGTTTTGTGAGTTGCAGGAAAATGATCTCTCCATTATTACTAAAATAGGTGAGACAATGCCTTCGGTCCTCTCAGGATTTCCTGTTCACATTGTCAGGAAGATGACAGTTGGCACCAGCTTCCTGTTGCTATTGGTGATGCAGGGCATGTTGCCCACCTGTCCCCGGGCTGGCCATGGGCTCAGCGTCTGCAGGGGTTCCTTGTGCTTACCTCAGAACAGCTATGCCTCTCTTTTTGTAAAATATATTTTCTTGTCTTATACATATGAGTTTTGAGTTATTACATATGCAGAAACTTTATTGGATTTTCATATTTGTTAAGTGTCTTTTCAGCTCACTCTTTTTCTCCTTGCTTGTGAAAAAGATTCACAAATGGTATGGAGTGGCCTGTATGTTCACATGTGCCCTTGTATTGTCTTTTCAGTCGAAATCAGCTGTCCACCCTGCCCGCCTGCCTGTGTGGTCTGCCTCTCAAAGTCTTAATTGCAAGTAACAACAAACTTGGATCGCTGCCAGAAGAGATTGGTCAGCTCAAACAGTTAATGGAGTTGGTATGTACTGATTTTTATGGTGCTTGCTTACTAATCATAGTCAGCTGAAGTGGTCAGAAAAACTTTTTGCTATGGTTGGACAGAGAGGAACTGAGTCTATCCTATATAATAAAAGCTTAATATGCAAATTGTCCCCTCGGGCAGTCATTCGACCCAGAGTTCAGTCTCTCGCTATGACTACCAGGGGGCAGCGCAGAACATGGCCGGCGTCTGCAATGTGCTGCAACCTCTTGCTGGCTACCTGGAGGCAGGGATGACACCGGAGGTGCGGTGAGAATGGGGAGTGTTCTCTGAGCTCTCTCTCACTCCCCCTGCTACCCTCCCCTGGGATGCCAGGGATCATGCGCTGGGAAGCCTCCCCCCCATCTTCAGGTGCTGGGCACCTGCGAGGACCCTGTCTCGCACCCATGTGGCATCTTTCAGGTGAGCCAGCGGCAGCCTCCAGGACCACAGGGGCCAGTCGGGCTTGCGGTGGGTACGCGCAGGAGCCAGTCTGCAAGGCCAGTCAGGAGAGAGCACGCTGCCTGCCCAGCTTCCGTGCAGCACCGCTGGGCGGCCCAGAGGCCCATATTGCACCCCAGCCTGTGGCGTGCTTACTTCATCTCAGCGTGGGGATTCTGGTGCTGTGACTCAGGTGAAGGGGGGTGCCCGGGGGCCCAGGTGCTGCTTAAGGCCCAGAGGTCAGCTGGGACCTGCCCTTCCATGCCAGACGCTTGTGCTTCGATTGCTGGCCAGGCCTAGGGACCACACCTGTGCCTCTAGTGTTATTGATAAAGACATTAAGGAGGGAGAGGAATAACCTTGGCTTTGTTGTAACAGACATAGTTTCTGAAAGTTACAGATTTTCTGTAGTTCACACTTCCTTAAGTTTACATGTTTTACAGCTCCTGAAGTTTACAGGTTATCATGTGGTAGTTAGATCATTTTTTTACAATGAAAATAAGTTTGTGATAAATTATGGGTAAACAAAAACTAATCTACAAATAGGTTAATAGGCCCCGCTTTCTGAATGAATATATATAAGTCACAAGACAGAAATAATAGTGTGCTCTGATTCTGTAAGGATTTGAGCAACCATGCTCTAGAGCAGTGGTCGTCAACCTTTCCAACCTCATGGACTACCAGTGGTCCGCGGACCACTGGTTGGTGACTGCTGCCCTAAATCAATGTAACTTTAAAATGTGACCCTATGCCCAGGGATAAAAAAGAAGAACAAGTTACAGACGGGCAGAGATGGGTTTGTAAGTGTGTGCCTGAGGGTGAGGTGCACTACTGTATTTCAGCTCTTTCTGTACCTATTTAATTACTTACCTTGTTTCTTAGAGTGTGAAAGAATGAATCCTTTCTAGACTTCCATTGAGCTAAAATGGGTGAAGGTAGAGGCAAGAATGAGCAATCAGGTTAAAACAATAGTCACAATTTAGCTTCCAAGCAAGCATTATTTCACTCTGACCTTGTGTCAAACACAGAGCAAAATACTGTGATTCCAACCATGGAAAGGACACGCTACCTTCCTGTAAGTAGATGCCATTCTAGAACATTGATGACCAATAACTTTTCTTTTGTGTGCCAACTCCAGTTAATTTCTTTGGGGCCACCTGGAATCCTGTTGTGATGGCTTGTGAGGCCCAGATAGAGTGCTGTGATCACTTAGTCATGTCTGCTTCGAGAATTGGCTGGGAAAGTGATAGCACCCATGTCACATGTGTATCCACTTTGACGTTAGTATAGAAATGAGTAACTGCTGTTTCAAGGCATCAGAGCTACTTAAAACAGGACTTATGTGATAGCAGTATCTGAAACGCATTCCAGCTCCCTCAGACTAAGAATTAGTATTGGTTATAGAGATACAGAGGTCTTCCCATCAATCAGTATCAGGACATTTGATCAAGGATCACGAAATGACTAGAACAAGACACTGTAAAATTGTCCAGAACTGTGGCCATGGTTTACTTTTATGACTTTCTCTACTTCTGCATACAATGGAGAAGTTGCCTAGCCCACAGATTCCAAGTGTACTAGTAAATGTCCTCCCAGCTAAAGCATTTAGCAGGGACCTACTAGCAGGTCTCAGCCCTGGTTTCTAAGTGAGAGAGGCAAGATCTGAGTCTCATGTCCTCTCCTGACTCAGTCAGCAATACCCAAGGCACCTGATCACATTGCCCTAACCTGACTGCTCAGCTGCAACCAACGGGGGCAGTTCTGAAAGAAGTTGGTTATTAAGTTGGATCCTCTCACCCCGAAGTCTATTACAAGAAGTGTGCTTACAGGGTAGGGAATGATTGATTAGTCTTGGAGCTGGGAAAGGTTTTAAGGGAAGAGACCTTTGAGAGGTGCCTTACATTACTCCATGTATCAAACAGAGTGAAATATTGTGATTCCAACCATGGAAAGGACACGGTGCCTTCCTGCAAGTAGATGCCAGTCTAGAACATTGATGACCAATCACTTTTCTTTTGTGTGCCAACTCGTTAATTTCTTTGGGGCCAGAAATCCATGTGGGATTTCTGAGATGAAAATAAGAGACAGGAAGGCCTTTCAAGAAGGAGGGATGACTTGTGCAAAGACAGGCCAGTATGGTACTACAGGGCATGCTGGGCAGTAAGAAGCCGTTTAATCCTCCCGAGACGAGGTAGAATGGGACGACTGCCGCAGGTTTAGGCCACCATTATCAGCTCCTTCGCAGGGTATCCAAGGCCCGCCTTGGTCTGGCCCCTGCTTCCCTCTCAGGTTCATCTCTTGCCCCTAGTCCCTTCACCCTCTGATTGCAGCCTTCTGGTGATGCACCTCGTTCATTTTCATTTCTGTCCTGTAGAGCATGGACTGTTTCTTCCCCCTCCTCTTTTGGTCAGTTTTTAGATCTCACTTAAATCTCACTTTCTCCAAATGCCTTCCCAGGTCCTGAGCTAGGCGCTTTTAAGACAAGCACCCAAAACTTACCATCCAAGTTTCACAGAGTCACATTTGTCATCTTACTTGGTATTCTCCACACCTTGAAAACTGCTTAAGGACAAGGGACGTATATTGCTGTTGTATCTGGTGCCCGGCACATGATAGACACCGAAGAATGTTTGCTGCATGCTGCTGTCAAATGGTGGAAAGTGGGCCACGAAGGTGGCTTGGTGCAGACTCCCAAGTACTTTACTGGGTTGGGGGGACTCTATCTCTCAGTCCAGGTTAATTCAGAAGGTGCCATTTTAACAGAAAACAAATATAGAATAATGCTTTGGATGAAACTGATAGTTATATGTTGTCTTTTTAATGCTTCTTTCAGGAGTCTGATAAATACAATATATGTTACAAATTGTTGTTGTTGTTTGCTACTTTTTGGCTCCTGACTGATGAAGTCAGTGTTCTGGACCCTTTTGGCAGCCAGAATGTTTCAGTCCCACTGCGCCCTGTGCTTCAGCCCACAGCGTGCCAGCCATCAGCTGTGCCTAGAAGTACGGACAGCTCTGTTAATAGGTGGCACAAGTGCTGAGCCCTGGAGCCACCCACGTCAGAGCAGGGCTTTCCGTCAGTTTGCAGGGCTGGCAGAGGAAGTACAACAGCACTGTCTGCAGCCTTGAGACACACAGGCTGCTGGTTGGGTGGAAGGGACACCCTGAGCTTTTCTTAGGCACCTTGTCTGGAGCCAGCTCTAACGTAGGCTGCCCTGCCTCTTAGTTACAGCAGTCATCAACCAGTCCTCGTGAATTTTCTCTACCAGCAACAACTATTGAACCCTGGAGTTCTGGAATGCTAGAGCCATAGAGGTTTTAAAAGACATCTAATCCAAGGTGTTGACATTTTACAAATGACGAAACTAAGGCAGGGAGATGTATAGAGCATCACCCTGGTGTAGTCAACTTATAACTTCAGTTGAAACACCCTCACCCAGCAAGCAGCAGATGCAGTTTTGTTTTATTTATTTATAAAATGTGTTTTTATTGATTTTTAGAGAGAAATGAGGGGAGAGAGATGGAAACATCAATGAGAAAGAAACATCGATCGGCTGCCTCAGCAGATGTACGAGTAATTTTAAATGTACTAGTAACTACATTTAAAAAAATATATAAGCAAACAAACTCTAATAATATATTTTAACCCAAGATAGCCAAGATATAATGTCACATGTGTACAATGTAACAGTAATGAAGTATTTTGTATTCTTTGTATTAAGTCTTTGCAGTCCAGTGTGTGTTTACACTTGCAGCACAGCATGGATTGGACTGGTCACATTCTCATGCCCAGTAGCCACATGTGGTGACTACCATACTGGAAGGACAGCCTGTGTTTTTTCTACTCTGTGTGTAAGCAAGCTAGATCTTTGTAAAAAAAAAACATTTCTTTGTGAAGTTGGTAAAAATTCAATAAGTTGCCATTATTTAACCACAAAGGGTAACTAGCCTTGCTTAAGGTCACAGACTAAAAAAAGATTAGTTCTCATTCCTTCTTATCTTTAATCTTTTTGCTTAAAATATTAGTATTACCATAGGTAATCAGATGTTTTTTAGCTATCAACTAGAAGAAAATTCTATGGTTACTATGTAGCACAAAACAGAATTTTCTTCTAGTTGCTGGCCCCGATTGCCCCTGAGGGCTTCTCCACCTCCCCCTGCTCCTGAGGGGCGATCGGGGCAGCTGCTGCCGCTCGCACCCACTGCTGGCACCGGCCCCAATTACTCCACGCCATCAGCGGGTGCAAGTGGGGCCAGCACCATCAATGTGTGGGAGTGGTGTCAGCGGGAGCAGGGCTGCTAGCAGATGGAACCAGGGACTGTGGCAGGAGGGACTGGGTGGGGGCGTGGAGGATGGGCAGAGACACGCCCCTGTGCCCACCACAGCCTCTCGGCCCACAGTTCCTTTCAAGGTGCATGAATTTGTGCACTGGGGCCCTAGTTCTATATAACAGCAGACCAAACAGCAGAAAGACCAGAACAACCGGTTGACCAGTCGCAATGATGCGCACTGACCACCAGCGGGCAGACACTTAATGCAGGAGCTGCCCCCTGGTGGTC